CACAGTCGATGTCAAGGTACATGCATCAATCATCAGAAAGAGACGCACAAGTTTGATTTACATGGGAGCTGTGCAAGGAGGAAAACCTTGCTGTCAAAAAACATCTGGGCAACACTGAAGTTTGCCAGAGACCCACCTAGACAAAGACCGGGACTTCTGGAACAATGTGCTTTGGACAGATGAATCTGAAATTGAATTATTTGGGTGCAGTAACAGAGGACATGTTTGGCATAAACCAAAGACAGTTTTTGCGCAAAAGAACCTCATACCAGCTGTGAAGCTTGGGGGTAGAAATGTCATGGTTTGGGGCTGCTTTGCTGCAGCAGAACCTGGCCAGCTCACCGTCACAGGATCCACTATGAATTCTTCATCATATCAGAGGGTGCTTGTGCCAAGGAATGGCTTACAAGAAAGACATGGAGAGTTCTGGAATGGTCAAGTCAAAGCCTGGATCTGAATCCTATTGAGATGCTGTGGGGTGATTTGAAGCAGAAGTACATGCAAGACACCCTTCAAACATCTCACAGTTTAAGGAATTCTGCATTGGAGAGTGGGGAAGCCTTTCTGCCAGTCGATGTCAGAGATTGATAGATGGTTATAGGAAACGTGTCACTGAGGTTATTTCAGCCAAAGGGGGAAATACTAGCTATTAGGGCACAGGGTGTCCTAACATTTTCCTCAGTAGGAATTGGCATCTTAGTTAATTTCCTTTGTTAAATAAGTCAGTTTATTTTTTGTTTTTGCATAGGTGATGCAATTACATCACCTTTATCTACAGATTAGAAAGACGATTTAATATTGATATTTTGATATTTCTTAATAAAGAATAAAATATACCATGGGGTGTCCTAATTTTTTCACATGACTGTACTTATCCACACCTGGAAAACACCAAAATCAAAGTCTATACTTTTCCGTACTGCATAGACACCCTGTAAAATACATTTCTCTATATAATTTCATACCATTTAAAATAATTCATTTAGCAGGCGCCTTTATTCAAAATGACGCACCGTCCGGTCTTTACTTAAAAAAATCAAACTTTATGAACTGGGAAAAAAATACAGCAATGCTGTGGTATAGCCTTGTTTCATAAAAGATTAAGCCTTGAGTTTAACCCGGGTTCTTCGGCACGCTAGCAGTTATTCCCCAACATCGTAAAACAAGCTTAATATAACTTCAAAGTATTATAATCTAGCCCCATGTACATGTTTAAGTGACGCTGTATATTAGGCGAAATCAGGATTGTGCGTAAATAATTAAATATTATTATTATTGTTGTTAAATCGCTTTACATTTGAAAGCTCAAAATATTCTGTGACACAATTACTTATTGTAATGCACTGCAATATATTTAACAACTAATTATGTTGAGAACTATTAAAACCCAATATTTAAGCAAGTTAAACATGCATCTTTCACTATTAGTTTAATCTGTCGAGTATAATCTTACCTGGCAATAAAAATATCTTTTTATTTTTCCAGAATCCAATTTGTGTTTCTTGACAAAATGGCGACTCCAGTTTTAAATCGCTTTCACTTTCATTTACAGACAGGAAGTTGCTATATCAGCTTTGTATGAAACGCGGAAGCTGTCAAAACGGAAATGGACGTGGATTCAATGGCGCACCGTAGGATTTTAGCCCCACTCCGCGCAGCATCTGAATGAGCCCCCCGCGGGAGATCCGGTCTGGATGTGGAGGGTCGTCACTCCTAAATCTCCCACTGATTTTTCTTTCATTGGCAATATCTGCACACGGCCCCCCGAAGAGCCAGTGACAAGCTGATCCCACAAGTATTATGTTTTATGTTTCCCCATGACTGTCTGCTGTTTCACATGGAGTGTAGAACTGTGGAGCAAACAGCGGCCAACAGAAGAATAAGCCCATTGATTCCAAATGGAATGATTTTAGCGCAGGGAGATTTTAGCACGGCTCTGCTAGAGAGGGTTATTAGCTTCTTCTCCAGGTCCGTGATCCAAGAGTCCAGGGTCCGAAAGGAGAAAGGGGAACTTGGCTGGTGGCAGATGAGTGCCCCCCCCTCATGCCCCCAACCCCTCCCCACCAGCTCTCCACATTCACAACAAGGAGATCGAAATTGTCTGGATAAAATGAAGGGGGGAAAAAGAGAGAGAGAGAGACTGAAAAAGCAAAAAAGTTTTCCCGTGTATATTTCTGGCAAGGTGGACGATAAAAGTGAGCTTGGGGGGG